ATGAATTTTTCAATGTAATTGTTATTATTTAATTCAATATTTTTATTAATATTATTATTGTTGTTATTATCATTATTATTATTGTCAATATTATTATTATTGTTGTTATTATCATTATTATTGTTGTTATTGTTATTGTTAAAATTTGAATACAAAAATATTTGCACAAAAATACCTATAAGTAATTAATAAAAAAATATACTTCCCATCACTATCACATTATTATCGTTATTATTATTAACATTGTCATCATCATCATTGTAAATTATATCGATCCTTCAAACATCAACAGATTTTGTAGAATTAAAGAGGAAACAAGTTAGGATGGACAATGAATGGTAAACTTTGAAAGATACAGACGGACAAACAGACCATTTCTCTTTTCACATTAATCTCCCTCTCCTCCTCTCCCTCTTCCCTCGCTTCATTTCAATACATCTATATAAATATATATGTATAAACATAGATAATGCAGACACATAGATCATACAGATGGAGACAGACAGATAGATAGACGGACACACACACACACACACACACACACACAGACAAAATACCAGTTGCCATCATTTGATGACATCTTCCGATTACCGTAGGATAAAATTGTTGAAGCTCACTTTACTGTCCATCATTGTCAAACATTTAAAAAGGCGACAGTTACACCTTTTTGAAGTACAGATCATTTTAACGGTATTTTAAACAAATTTATAAAAATGATAACTTTATATAGAGAAAGAGAGAGAGAGAGAGACAGAGAGCGAGAAAGAGAGAGAAATTGATACTATCTGTGTAATATGTTTTCATTGTTTGATAACAGTTGAAGAAATGATATGTAAGTAGATGATGAAATTTTTATATCCTTTTTATACTTGTGAGAAATTTTTTTTTTTGAAAAGAAAAAAATTACTCTCTGATCAATAATCAATCAATAAATCAATCAATCAGTCGATCGATTGATCTAATCTAACAATCAATCTGATTAATACATTATACATATTATTTCACCTTTTTTTTCCTCTTTCTTTTCTTCTTTTACAATTTAAAAAAATTATAAATTTTTAGATAATTGGAAAAAAAAGCGATAAATGTAAAAAGAAAAAAAACAAGATGACCTTTATGAGGTCAAAGTATTTTATTTTGATCAATAATTTTGTGGTTGTTTTTTTTTTTTCGATTAGGTTAATGAATCATATAAAATATGCTAAACAATTAATATGCTTATTTGATACGAAAAACTTGTAATTAAAATGATTAATTTTAAAAGTTAAAAAATAAAGTTACAGGGAAATTTGAAATAAAAATGGAATATAAAAGAGGAAATTTTAAAAGAATTCGTATTCGATGAAATTTAAAATTATATAATTTAAAGAGAATAATAAGTAATTAAATTAGTAAAAAAAAAATTTTGAGAGAATAATAAGTAAATAAATTAAATTAATTATAAAATATAATATAGATTAATTATCAAATACTATTACATATGCATAATAATGGATTTTTTTTTATAATTGTAAAATTTTTTAAATTGATTGTTAAATAAAATTTTAAACAATATAATTAAAAATAAATATTTTAATTGGATTGATAATTGATTGCTGCCCTCTTCTCCTCAATTTCAATTATTATTTGCTTTGTTCAATTAAAATTTCTTTAATTAGTTTTTTTTTAGTATTTTATACCTAAATTAATTGTATTAATTAATGCATTGATTAACACACACACACTCTCTCTCTCTCTCTCTCTTCTCTTTCTCTCAAAAAAAGTTTTTTTTCAATTTTCCAATTTTGGTTTTTTTGTCTTTATTTTGAAAAAAGGCTCATTTAACAATTAATCGAAATTTAAAATTTTTAATATAAAAATTTCATTGAAAAATTTTTTT